GTGTGTGTTGGAAAGCCACCTCCTCAGGGAGGGGAGCCGAGGGGGGTGAAGGCCTGGCTGCAATGGCAGATATCACCTGTCACGATCATCAGCACTTGCTGTGTAAACCCCCTGGGCGACAAAAGCCGGTGATCGCCATTCTGAGGCCAGATTGGGGGCGTCCTGAAAACGTATTAGTTTGCAAACCTCTCCAAAAAGTAATTTACAATCGGACTGATTATTGCGTAGAGAGCCAATAATTAATTGATTCGCAGTACTCCCTGGCACGGTAACTTATATCATATATATAATATAATATAATATAATATAATATAATATAATATAATATAATATAATATAATATAATGTACAATAGATATACAATAGATAATATATATATGACCTTGCAATGTATGTGTAAAAGAGACCGTGTGACACCGTACATAATAACATTTATTTACATGTAAGTATGTGTACATATATACATATATGTACACACACACACATATATACACACACTTATATACATACATATACACACATATACACATATAAACATACACATACCGTAGAGAGATTATACCATTACGCAAAAATATCTCTTTAAGGCCGTGCGTAAGAATTGCAGCTGGCGAAAAATTAATTATTTGAGGCGCTGCGTATGTGTGCGAATAAGGGAAAAAATAATTGTTTGAGGCGATGAGTGAGCAACTTGGGCGGCAACCAACGGCAGCCTTCCCCTCCACCCCTCTTGAGGACTTCCAGCTCAGCGTTAGCTGTTTCCCCAAAGGGGCCAGAATACCCAGAAGTCAAGAAGAGAAGGCAAAGCAGCAGAAGCAGCCCCATCATGCGACAAGGACAAGGAAAAGCGCGCAGGAGAGGAGGCAAAGCGCAAGCCAAGGAGCTCAGTGAGAATGCAAGCTTGCCTCTAAGACCACCCGTCCACCAGAATTCAGGGCTAGTTGTTTTTGTGGGTTTAGGCCTTTTCGGCATTGCGCAAATGTGCGTATTTGAAAATGTAAACTTGTGCCGTGGGTGCGTAAATGATGTGTATGTGTGAGACTAATTATTTTTAAAGAGGGTGCGTGTTGGTCACATCTCTCTACGGTACATACATATGTACGGTATATATACATGCATATATATATTATATGCACACACACACACACACACACACACACACACACACACACACACACACATATATATATATATATATATGCATGTATATATACCGTACATATGTATGTATATATATATATCATATATATATCATCATCATATATATATCATCAGCAGCGGCCGCTGCCACAGCTATAGCGACCACAACCCCCACATGCAGGGCTTCAACAGCAGCATCAGCAGCAACAGCAACTGCAGCATGCGCAGCAACAACCCCAGGAACAGCAGCAGATCCACCAGCAGCCTCAGGAGCATCCTCAGGAACAGCTGCAACAGGAGCTGCAGCAAAGTCAGCAATTCGGGGCGAGTCCTTGCAACACAAACAGCAACAATCTCAAGCAGGGCCCCACAAGCAGAAGCAGCAGCAGCCTCAAGAGCAATAACCCCAAGAGCAGCAGCAGCCACAGCCAGGGCAAGTGAGCAGCGCAGAGAGGGTCAGGAGGTATGCCCTTCTCAATCCTCTTTGCGCCTTGCAAGACTTTGCCTCCACCGAGATCCCAGCTGACCACCCATTCCTTGCTGTAGAGCAAGACACCCAAGAAGGCCCCATCGGTGGGGGCTATTGGACCGATCCTGGTATTGAATGTGGTCAGGCCCACAGTTACCTGTCTATCTCTCCCTTGAAGAGGTGGACCTTCAGTGTAGTTTTGCGATGCAGAGATGGCCAAGCTGCTTTGGCGTGTTGTCTGTCTTTCTCGTTGTGGAAAGGGGCGAGCTCGTCTGTGGCTTGAGTGGGGCACTGTAGGGGGTCGCAGGTTAGCCATGAGTAGCCGCCACCAAAGTGTGTCCCTTTTTTTCCTTCTCTGCCAGCAGGCCTCCCTTTGGGCTTTGCCTAGTTCCAGAACCTTGAGCTCCTCAGTCTCCTTCTGCCGCTTGTTTGAGTGAGGCTGGTGCTGTTGTTGCCTGCTTGAGTTCAGGTTTCCTTCCCGCAACTGCTCTCCCGCGTGCCTTGGACTGTCTGGCTTAGCCTTGTCTTTTGTCTTTTGTGAGTTCTCAGTAGGACTGGTCGTTTTCTTGAGTAGTGTTTCAGCAGCTCTTGTTGTTGCACTTTCTTGCAGCTCTTCTCTTGCAGCTCTTCTCTTGCTATCAGGTCCCTGCTGGGGACCGCTTATGTAATAGCCCCAAAAAACACTCTGTCCTCCTGTGCACTGACCCTAATCGTTGTATGCCATCATTGCGCTGACTCTGACTGCTTGCCTCAAGGTCCTAGACGGGCTGCCCCTGTCTGGCCCGAATGCAAGTGTGCCTCATTATACAAAGCATTGCATGTTGCATGCAAATAATTTCCGGTCAGAGACATCACACACTCCTGCATGCCTGCCTTCCTTGTTTGTGTTCTTGGGCTGCGGGAATCAGACAAGCAGTATGAACTCCACACAGCTCTTGTATGAGGACTGACTTGCAGGCACAGATTGACCCTGTACCTGTACAAATGCGCGTCTCGGATAGAGGAGCAAGCCTGAAGGTTTTCCTGAGCTTTTCTGGAGGGATGGCCACACACCTTTCTGCTCTGCCATCGCATGTCCATTTGCGGAGCAGTTCTCTCCTCATGAGCTCGTGAGGGAGAGTAGTCTGGTAACCAGCTTGTCCTCCCCTTCGTTTTGATGGCAGGTCAACCTGCAGCTGCAAAACACCACCAACATTACATGCAGCATCAGCACCACCACTATCATCACACCTTATCAGGCATACACCACAGGCACAAAATGCATGGTATGAATGCCCAGAAGAGACAATTGTCTCTGTGAAACTGTCTCTGAAAAACTTATTTTCAAGTTTCAATCAGGGTTGAACGCTTAAGCTTTTGACCTGATAATGCAAGCAACAAGAACGAAGTCCGCGCGCGCTCACGATGATATCCACCATCTGGGCTTTATATATGCCCAGGGTGTATGGCCAGAGTGAGGCCTGTGACTGGCCCAAGTTATCCACTTGCTGGCAATCACCTGGGGCTCACCTCTTGCAGTTTGTTGGCACAAGACCACAAAGATGCTGCAGCTCCCTCTGTCTCATGGTGGGTGTGTTCCCAGGAAGGCTGAAGCTGGTCAGGATCGGCGGGTCCCGGAGACCTCTAGTGCTATTCCAGAGGCCTGTTGAGCAGCGAGCTGTCGCTGACTAACAAAGCTTGCTTGCAATTGGGTACCATCTACT